TGTGCAGTGCGCTATAGCATCGTTTTGAGGGTAGAAGTTGAAACAATTTATGTCCAGGATGTGAGAGGTCTGTAGATATTTCCACAGTCCTCTTTTTGGCTCATGCAATGGACAGGTCCTCAGTGGAAGGCGGATTGGTAGCAATTGTTTTGAAGTCTGTGTTTGTCTTGTTTGGTTGCAGAGCCAAACCAGACAGTTATGGAGCTGCAGATGACAGACTCAATCCTGTAATAATTTAGAGCCTGATTCTTCGAGGGGGGGAGGGGGTCTCCCTTTCCTACAACGAACCTTTCGAGGTATTTAGATCAGTGGTTTTTTAAAGTCATTCTGGGAGCCCCCTGAGGGTCGCTCAAGACCCTCTCAGGCGTCAAAACGATTTGCCAGATACTGAAGTTATTTGCAAAAATTTAAATCGGCGTCACCCTTATTATTTGAATTTACTATTGTTATTTTCTCACAATTCAAGAAATTATTATTTTATGAATGTGTCAATTTTAACTTTCAATGTGGTAAATATTGATAGATCTTAACCCATACAAATAAAAGCTGCTTTGGGGCTCTCTAAAATTTTTAAAAGTGGGAGGGGTCCCAAGAGCAAAATCTTGAAGAAATACTGACTTAGATCATTCTTTTTAAAAACGCCCTTGCAAAATAGTTCATACCAGTTGGTATTATTGTTGTTGTTGTTTTGCTTTCTTTGTTGAGAGAAAAGGGGGAACTAGTCCAGTTTGTCCTCTTCCAGATTCATTGGCTACGGTTCCCTGGGGCTGATTGCAAATACACTTTCTGGGAATAGGGGCAAAATTTTCCAGGATGAAGATGCCTTTTTTAGCTTAATTCTGAATTTCTTAGGCCAGAGTAAAAATAAAACGGAGGAAAACTTGGTTCAAGGAAGGAAAGAAAATCTGGGTGAATATTCAGTGGGAGAAAATACGTTGATCCTCCCATTTTGTAAAGCAATGTCCATTTGACCAGGGGTCTCCAACCTTGGCAACTTTAAGACTTGTGGACTTCCATCTCCCAGGATTCCTCAACCAGCTTTGCATTAGATTCTGTTTAGCAGAGGTTTAATGGCTGTGTGGACTTGGATACAAAGGACAGAGCTTTTTCTAAAGCCTGTTTTCTTTGAAGAACTTGGATAGAAATGAGGAAAAATCTCAGACCTGCTTTATTGTGGAACGCTGGACCTTGTTTATGATATCCCTGCAAGCTGTTGTGTTGTGGCCCAGCAGGAGCCGTTGGAGCTGCCACCAGACTCCGACAGCGAGGGGCCCTATGAGTCAGCCCTGGAGGATGTGGAGGACCCTGGNCAGGAAGCTTCTTCAGTTCTGAAGTTCACTTCTTCAGAACTGAAGCAGCTTCTTGGATGAGAAGCGAAAGAAAAAAAAATCAATTCAGTTGCCTTTTTTGTTTTTTTTTGGAAAAGCACCTTTTGGGACAACCATGACTTGGATGATTGAGAATCTCCATAGACATTCCCCTCAGCAAAGTGTTGTTTAACAAAGTTGTAGTTTGCTAGATAAGCAGCCCTTAAAAAGGTGCTGTCAAAGCTTTGGAAGTGTTTAGAAGCATTTCTAGCTTTTCCTCCTTGCTTGAAGGGCTTTGTTGTTGACCAAGACAACAAGGCACCCTTGAAGTTTAGGGTAGGTTTAGAACAAGGGTCTCCAACCTTGGCGACTTTAAGACTTGTGGACTTCAACTCCCAGAATTCCTCAGCCATCTGGGCCATCAGCCATCTGGCTGAGGAATTCTGGGAGTTGAAGTCCACAAGTCTTAAAGTCGCCAAGGTTGGAGATCTCTGGTTTAGAAGCAAACACCTGCTCATTGTGAAGAGCTCAACAAGAGGAATAAGGGGAAAGGGAAACCCCATTGTAAACTTTTGCTTGCTTTAGCCCAGTATCTAGTTGGGATAGTCTTCGATGGAGGTGAAGGTGAAAAATCCTGAAATTCAGGAACTTTTGAAACATCCTTGTGCTACAGTATTATTATTATTTTTTGCTTTGATGAATGATTCATTCCAGAAATCATTCTGGATCATAATGCTTTTTTTTTAAAAGAAAAAAAGTTAATCTCTTTAATGTTACAGATTTAGAAATGGCCATTGCCTATTGGAACTTAGTACTCCACGGAAGGTTTAAATTCCTAGACTTGTGGAACAGATTTTTATTGGTAAGTGCAAACATTAATTGTTTCTAACAAATACATACATGTTGAGTATGTGTGTATATCGTATGATCAATACCGTTATGAAACGGGTCTATCTCAGGATTTTTTGTCTGTGAACATAATAATAGGTCATTAAAGCAAATTGGCAGCTTTTCTCGTCCCTGCTGATAGTCCTTGACTTACAACTGATGGCTTATTGACCATTCAAAGTTACACACACCTTCCCAAAGCTACTTAAGACCCGGATATGAAGTTCTGAGAGTCAGGCTCTCCTCCCCCCCCCCCCAAATCACCTGATCATATTTTGGACACTTATAGTTGTTTGTAGCATCCCCCCAGTCATGCGGCCATAATTTACTTTTTTGGGGGGTGGTGGTGGTGTCAGAAACCAGTTTCTGGCAAAAAGAAAAAACCCAACCTACCCATTGCTGGATTCATTTTGTGATTGCTGCAAAAAATGATCATGAAGTCTGGCATGTCTTCCAACTGTAATTCCAGGCACAATTATGGTCATAAATCAGGGGCCCCAGAATCACTCGGTTGAATTGGGTTGGAATGAATGAATGAATGAATAAGAAAGGAAAGAAGGAAAAGAAAGAAAAAGGAAGGGAAGGAAGGAAGGAAGAGAAAGAAAGAAAGAAAGAAAGAAAGAAGGAGGAAGGAAGGAAGGAAGGAAGGAAGGAGGAAGGAAGGAAAGAAAGAAAGAAGGGAAGGAAGAAGGAAAGGAAGGAAGGAAGGAAGAAAGAAAGGAAAAGAACAAATAAGTCACAAATCCCAAAAGCCCTTCATGGCTTGGGGCAAGGTTATCTGAGGGACTGTCTCTTGATGGTCACATCTACCCGACCCATCAGAGTAGGGAGGCAGGGAATGCTGCGGGTTCCATCCCTGAGGGAGATATACCTGGTGGGACTCCCCCTCTGGAACATCATTCCCCTAGAGAATGGCCCCCACTCTAATACCTGGTTCTGCCAGGGAATCTGGGGAACCCAGAGCAGGAATGGAGCCCATTCAATGACTCGATCATCTGTCGCTGAGAAGTGGGGGTGATTTTATTATATTAATTTATCTGATTCTTTTTTTATTATAGTTTTTTTAATGTGGTTTTAAATGATGTAAGCTGCCTTGAGTCACCATGGGTCGAATAGGCAGCAATATAAATTAAATAAATAAATGATTGAATGAACGAATAAATAAATGAAAAATCTGTAGAGTTTTAATTGCAAATTTTCGACCCAGTGAAATTTTGTAGATTGAGCAAAGGAATGTGTAAATTCTCCGGTCGTTTAAAATGTCCCCTGTCCATGGGCTTGAAAGTGCTAGGAATTGCTGAGTGGACCATATCTGCTTTTGTGGATTCTGCATTAAATCTGGTGCAAAGCCTTGAGGAGGCACCGTTTTAATTGTGCCCCCCACCGAGGCCTCCTTTGATGGCCCTCCCCAAAGCAGCACAAAGCCTTCCTCATTTTGAGCACTGCACTGGAGCGGCCCCTTCAGTGGAAGGGAAACAATCTCTCTCAGTGCTTTGAAAATGTTGAAGCCACTTGCCTCTCCAGTCCTGCTTTATTCCAGGCAATGAATTAAGCAGCTCTGAGAAGCAAAGCTGGGTCGCTCTGCAGAACCAGGATGCTCAGCAGGTGATTCAGATATAAAGGATCTGAGAGAGAGATCATTTCCGCCTTGCTGCCCAAGAACTGTGAAGAGAGGTTCTCCCAGTCTTGGAACCACGATGTGCTAAGCTTCAAGTCCTGTTGAGGAGTCAGTGGATAAGTAATGTCTTGAATTATGACGGTGGGATTTTCTCTCTCAAACAGGAACATCATAAAAGATCTATACCGAAAGACACTTGGAACCTTCTTTTAGACTTCAGTGCAATGATAGCAGACGATATGTCAAATTATGACGAGGAAGGTAATGTTGCTGCTTGATGCCATTGGAACTCTTTACCCAAGAGTTCATACTTTAACAGATGTTCCCGGCTTGGCTTCCCAGCTCCCAATTTTTTATTTTTATTTTTCCCCCCTGCTTTTATTTTTATAAATAGCTCAAGGTGGTGAACATACCTGCTACTCTTTCCTCCTCCTATGTTCCACACAGCAACAACCCTGTGAGGTGGGTTGGGCTGGTAGAGAATGACTGGCCCAAAGTCCCCCAGCCACTGTTCATGTCTAAGGTGAGACTAGTGATTAGCCCAAAGTCACTCTGCTGTCTTTCATGCCTAAGGCAGGACTAGAACTCTCAGTCTCCTGGTGATTGGCCAAAGTCACTTAGGTAGCTTTCATGCCTAAGGCCGTACTAGAATTCACAGTCTCCTGGTTTCTAGCCTGGTGCCTTAAGCGCAAGACCCAACTTTCTCTCTTTGTACCACTGACACTGCTAAAATCCATCAGTCATTTTCTTCAAACCTTATCTACAATTTGATTTGTCCATCAGTTCTCAGAAGAGTTTTTTTAAAATAAAAAATAGTGAAGAACCCGGAGAATAAACAAAGATCTGTTTGTCCAACATCTGAAAATAAGAAGGGTTGGTCATTGCCCTGAAGGCCCTGAACTTAATCCCAGAGAGCTGCCTTTAGCAAGCTATGGTATAAAACTTGGCTTTAAAATGAATGGTGCTCAATGGCATTCCCCTGCTATGAGGTGGTGGTGTTTTTTCTTTCCTTATTTCAACAAAACCAGCTTGCCAAACTAGCTACTGCTGAGTCACAAATTCTGCCGTGTTTCCCTTCTGCAACTCACCAGATCATTGCCGGGCAAATGGGATGCATAATTTTAACATTCTGTCACACCTTTTCCTGTGTATAGTTTTTTTTTCCTGATTGCTTCAAATGATGATAGAATAGAATAGAATAGAATAGAATAGAATAGAATAGAATTCTTTATTGGCCAAGTGTGATTGGACATACAAGGAATTTGTCTTTGCTGCATATGCTCTCAGTGTACATAAGGACAATAAAAATACATTAATCAAGAATAAATAGATACAATAATACAATACAATACAATAGCAGAGTTGGAAGGGACCTTGGAGNGGAGGAGGCCTAATCTATGGGATCTTATTGGTCTAGTGGAGGTAATTGGCAGTAGGCAGTGGAGGTAATTGGCAGTTGACCTTCATGTATTTCGAGCCCTTGACTTAACAATCACAATTGGGACCAGACTTTCCACCGTTTAAACAAGTGGTTTGTTGAGTTGCATCCAGCTTTATGACGATTTTTGGCTAGAATCTGTTAAGTGAATCACAGCAGTTGTTAAGTGAATCATATAGTTGTTAAACCAATCAGCTTCCCTGATTGACTTGGTTTATGGGAAGAGGGCTGAGAAGGTCACGCCTGCTGATCACATGACCCTGGGATGCTGCAGCCGTTATAAAATTCACTCAATGAATGGTGATCAAATACGGATCGAGGACTACCTGTATGGGACCATTGCAAGGAGTAATGGCCACATCTTCCAAGCCTAGCATAAGGATAGCTGCAGGTAGTTCTCAACTGAACATCTGTGGAGATTCTTAGTCATCCATGTCATGGTTGTCCCAAAAGGGCTTTCCAAAAGACAACTGAACTGTCTTGGTTTTTTCCCCCCCTTGACGTTTTGCTCCTCATTCAAGCTTCCTTCAAGTCTGTCTGAAGAACTGAAGAATCCTAACCAGAACTAAGGAAGCTTCTTGGATGAGAAGTGAAACATCTTCAAGGAAAAAAGTCCAGTTGCCTTTTGGAAAACACCTTTGGGTCTCAACTAAATATTCGCCTGCACATCATCATGCACCTCAGTTGTTAGATATGTGGTTTTCAGAGCTCCAGTGGTTAAAAAGAAGCCCTTGTCAGCCCATTGCAGAAATAAAAGTATTTGTCATTGAGAAAAGGCAGCAAGTGTTACCTGCAACCAGTAATGGATTCTGAGAGAGTGCAAAATCCGTTACTACAATAAAAAAAAGGAACAGGTATTTCAGGTGCTATGAAATGTTCATCCTCAGGTATCTAAAAAGCAAAATAAAAATGACTTTGAGCCTAGCTCGGGTTGTTGTTTTTTGTAATGCTGAGTCAACAGCCCAAGGATTGATGCCACCAATTAAAGCCAAGTGTCAAAAAAATCACCATTAAGAGAGACAACAGGCAAAGGATCTTTCTTACACTATGGCTGCATTCATAAAACCTGATTAACTAGTTCATTGAATTGTATTTTCCGAGTTCAAATAACACATTGGCTAGTTTACATCTCAGTGTTGGTGCTCCAGGTGAGGCAACTCTTTAAAAGAGTAGCATGTTCTGCAAATATATCTGCTAAATCTTCATCTGATCAGACTCTTTGTGTGTGTGTGTGTGTGTGTGTGTGTGTGTGTGTGGAGGGACAACGGAGTGAAGGCATTTGCTCTGAGGCAAGTAGAGAAAGAAACATTCCAAACCTCATATCAAATCATTCTCCTGTCATTCAACTGTGGGTTGAATTAGATTTAATGTCGGTAAATGGACCTGGAATGTTTTGAGGGTCAATGGTAGGAAAGTGATTCATGTATGCGGGAGCAACATCCCTTCAAATATGTCTTCTGACCTAGGCTTCCTGAGAAAGCATAAATCACAATTTAGTCCCCAAAACCCTCTTTTATTTAGACGGAATTATGTTCATTCACAGTCCGTAATGATTCACAGTCTGTGAAGAGTCCAACAGACGTCTGCTCGAGTTGCCACAGTCTTTCAGGGGAATGTTGATAAGCACCCACCTTTATCTCCCTTGAAATGCTGCCAGAGACCTAATTGCCAATTAGTTTTGCAAGGCCAAACAGCACAGAGTCAAACAGAACTTCTCAGAGCTTGAACCGACTAGATGAACTAATTGCTTCCTGCAAAGGCTCACCTCCATTTGCTCCTCTTTTATGTCTTATGGGAGGGGGCCAATCATCTCCAAGCCTTACTCCTGAGTTGCTCTTTTTTTTCTTTTCTTGCCTTCTGGCAGCTCTGCACATGCGCACACTGGGAACAGGCTCGCACTGTTCTTCTGCCTCGCTGATGTCAGGCTCCAGAGGCAGCACATAACTTACCAGATGGCCCTGGCCCCCTCTCTGCCTCCGATGCAGAGCCCTCATCCGAGCCTTCCCCAGACTCCAGGACTGGCCCATGTTCCTCCCCAACCTCCCCACTGTCCGACTCTGCTGCCAGCTCCGCAGGCCGTCGGCGGACCACAACAATACGTAAAAGTTTGAAAATAAAGCTGGATGAAAGTTTAAACAAGCAAGGAATCGAGGCTTGTGTTTTATCCAAAAACCTCTGGTTCCTTTCTGCACGTCTGCACGTGCGCAGCGTTGTTACAAGACATGCTGCATTAGTTCAATTTGCAATTCTTCATCCCTGGATGGTTGAGAAATAAAACCAAGGCTGTTAAAAAGTCAAAGATTTTATTCAATAAATATAATTTCCATAATTTTTTTGTATAACAACATATTAACATAGCAGTACAGGAAGCTGCATTCGACTGTTTTTGCCACAAAGCATCTTAACATGATGATGGGGTGGCCACAGTGTCTTGAAGTCAAGAGTCCTTTGGACGAGGGAAGGATTGCTCTGGCTTCTAGTTGTTCTGATCCGTCCATCGCACACGACTGGAAGCAACTCAACATGAGTTCTGTCTTCCCAACTGGAATATTATTCAGCGCTCTTTCTAAAATGTAAGGCCGGTAAACCCAATCATGCTTGTTTTAAAACAGATCATCACTAAGGTTCATTCTTCAAGAGCGTAAGGACAGAATCAGTTTACATTTAAGGAAGCCATCTTTGGCATAGTGGGAATAACGTTTCTTTTGCAATCTAAAATTCAAAAAATACAGCATTTTTACAAAGCGTACAAATCTCTCCATCTGCTACTAAAATAAAATAGGGACGGGTTTCTCTTAAATAACGGCCATTCGTTTGGAAAAGTACAAAAACTAGTACTGTCGGTTAGGTTGGGTTTCTTTAAAACCAAATATTTGGCTATAATCTGGCAATAGCGAGTTATGCCTTGCTGAAATCAACCTATTAATTAAAGCAGTGTTTCTCAACCTTGGCAACTTGAAGATGTCTGGACTTCAACTCCCAGAATTCCCCAGCCAGCATTCGCTGGCTGGGGAATTCTGGGAGTTGAAGTCCAGACATCTTCAAGTTGCCAAGGTTGAGAAACACTGAATTAAAGCATATTTCTTTATGTTCCCCCCTTCCCCACAATTAAGCATGATTCTGTTTAATGGAAGCTACTCCCAGATTAAACACACACATAGGACCACAAACTTAAAATGTGTCACTTGTTTATAAGAGGATGAAGCTTTAAAATATTTTTTAACTTTCAGAACCTCGGAATTTATCTCAAGAACCTCTTCAATGAAAGAACAAGACAAAGGACCAAGTGTGGAAAGTAGTTGCATCCTCTACATTAACTGCTAGCATTTTTTTAAAAAAAATTGTGGTGACAGCACCAACTTAGCCAGTAGTTGTTTTTTTTTCTCTAGAGCTAATTCCATCCACCACTAGGAACTAAAAGCAACTTTACAATGATACCCTCTACTGCTCTAGTGGATCTGTCCGAGGGCAGCTGGTGATCTATAGTAAATGTTGAGTTACGTTGAAGAAACTGCCATCTCCCTATTGCAATGGCGACAGTTTCATTAGTAGGTTTACTACAATGACAATACATATTAAAAGAAACTCTCCTATAATATATATGTCCTCAGTTAACAACCGTCCTGTTTTGCAACCAGTTATGACGGTACTGAACAACTGACTTTGTAACCAGCCCTCAAACTTACAGCTGTTGCAGCCTCTCTGGGTCCCACTGCAGCATTTATGACCAGTGTCCTCCTATCACAAGATCACAATTTGTGATCTCCACAGCCAGTTTCTGACAAGCAACGTCAATGGACAAGCAAGGAGTGCAGTGAAATCACAAGTCACAGAGTCTCACTTCATGACCCTGGGTGATTCATTTAACGACTGCATCACTTAGAAATGGCGTTGCCAGTCCCAATTGTGATTGTTAAGTGAGGACTACCTGTACCATAACGTTCAACCAGCAGTTGAATTTCAGCAGAGTCTACTTGAACACGACCTGGTGATACTGGTATTGAAGAGTATTTGTCCATGCAATATATATTTTGGATCACCGACCTAACTCCAGTCCTAAATCAAATTTATTTGTAGACAAAGACCTACAGATTCCCATATTAAGTCAATGGCATAGGAAGAATTCTGAAAAAAGCAGGACAGTTGCATGGCTTAGAAAAGGGGTGGTAGAACAGGATGGCTGGCTAGGGAATTCTGGGAATTGAAGTCCACAGGTCTTTTATCCAAAGCTGGACACTCCTGATTTAGAGCATCAAGGACACATCCACACTACAGTTACGATTGTGTCTTGTTCGGCAAAACTAGCATGTTGTGCTAGTCTGAGGCATACTCAAGATATAGTAGAGAGTTCATCCGTGCCTACAGGAGACCACGTCAAGCGGTTGAACGAATCCATTTTCCAAGCAGTAACCCATGTTATTTAGCTAACATTAACCGCTGAAATAAACACACTTCTTAACAGCCAAGAAAGCAATCTCGACAATAACCCGGTGCATAAAATTGAACAAGAAATATAATACTCAAAAATAAAATATATGTATACAGGTAGTCCTCGACTTACAATAGTTCATTTAGTGACCGTTCAAAATTTCAGCGGCACTAAAAAATGTGACTAAAATTCAGACGCTTGGCAGCTGACTCACACTTACGACCATTGCTGCCCCGAGGTCATGCGTTTACCTTTTGATAAGCAAAGTCAACGGGGAAGTCAGATTCACTTAACCACCATGTTACTTACTTGTCAACTGTAATGATTCACTTGACAACTGGCAAGGTGGGTCATAAAATGGGACAAAACCCACTAACAAATGTCTCACTTAACAACAGACATTTTGGGTTCAATTGTCATCGTAAGTCAAGGACTACCAGTATTTATGATGTCGCTGTATCAAATCTCCCCCCTCACTGGTTGTAACTCCATTTTTGATACATTTTTAATCTGCTTTTATTATTTTATAAGTAATTCATGACAGGGAACACACATAATACTGCCTTCCCCCTCCTATTTTCCGTACATAGAAACCCAGTATTGGAGTGACTAATTATGACTGAACTTTGAAGTTTTACACTTAAAGTCTCTGCCCACTTGTTAAAAACACAGAAAATCCAGACATCGTTTTCAAACAAATGCTAATTCCTTTTATCCTGAGAAAAGTTCCAACTAAAAATAAAAAGGTACATTTATGTTCTTTGGAATGCTGGGCAATGTTTAGTAATCTAAAATGCATCTTTTTCCCTGAGTGTGGTTGATTTTACTGAGTGAGTTTATGCAAGTTGAGCTGCACTTCCATACCTGTCTTAGTTAAAGTCCCAAACTAATCAAAATTTATAATGGCATTCCCTTTCTTAATAGGAGATAGTGGAATAACAATAGCACTTAGACGTATTATACGGCTTTATATAGTGCAACCCTCTCTAAGCGGTTTTACAAAGTCAGCCTATTGCCCCCAACAATCTGGGTCCTCGTTTGATCAACCTCAGACGGATGGAAGGCTGAGTCAACCTTGGGCCTGGTGGGATTTGAACTGCCAAATTGCAGGCAGCCGGCGATCGGCAGAAGTAGCCTGCAGTACCGCACTCTAACCACTGCGCCACCGAGGCTCTAAATAAAAGAATAGAATTATAGAGTTGGAAGGGATCTGTAAGGTCATTTAATTCAGTCCCTTACCTGGTGTAGGAACCTTGCGAAAACCTTTGGGACAGATGGTTAGCAATTCTTACCATCAGGAAATCTCTGCACTGGAATCTCTTTTACTGTAGTTTAAGTTCATTGGGGCGGGGGGGGGGATCCAATCTGGCACCAATTAGAATTTTTTTTAAATTGCAAAGACAACGGACTGAATTTGAGGAAGCATACCACTCTCCATAGCAAAGGTCTTCAAACTCGGCAACTTTAAAACTTCAACTTCCAGCATGGATGACTGAGGAATTCTGGGAGTTGAAGTCCATAAATCTTAAAGTTGCCAAGTTTGGGGACCCTTCCTCTATAGGATCAAGAAGTGATTAAATAAGTTATTTATAATGTGTTTTTTTTTTATAGCAATGGTGACTGAATACCAGGACAGGTGTCAACCCTAAGTTATTTCTTTTAAATGGCCATATTCTGAGGGACAGTTGGTCCCCCAACGATTGCCAACTTTTTTCTTTGTCAGATGAAATGATGATGCTACGCCTCAATGGAAATGGTGGGAATTAAAACCTGGATCATCCTGGGACCGGCTTCATTTTCAATGGGCATGGAGAAGATGGCTTTCCAGGCCCCTTGACACCTCAACCTGCAACTGTTGTAGAGATTCCTGAGACCAACCCAGATCTGACGCCCTTTCGGAGTTCTCCAATGCCATCACTAACAAGGACGGTCATTTCACAGCTCCTTCTGCCCCGAATTCCTTTACCCCGCCGGGCATTATGGGTGAGATGCTCCACTCTGCTGACCAGGACCAAGACCACAGAACACAACATCGATGGCATCTTTGTTTGGAATAGGAGATTCTGCAACTTGGTGAAAAGCAGTAGAGAAAGACTAAGCGGGTTTTTACCAGAGCAGGAGCCTCAACTGGGAAGTTGAAAACTTATTCCACGAAATGTGACAATCCGTTTCTGTATGGGTAGCTGCCAAGAAAATTACATGCCCGTGTGTCCATGAAGTTATTGGTCTTGATGGGAAAAAAATGGCTTTCTTTTCGTGTTCTGCGGACTCTCAAAAAGACACATAGAATTTATCCTATCGTCCCCCAAAAATATAATGAAGAAAAATCATCTTCCTTCCTTGGTTTATCCTCAACTGTTATTGCTTAATCTGCTGTAATTCGTTCATTTCACAGACGTTTCCTGCATTTCCTTTTTTCTGTCCTGCAATGTATTTTTGGCCTAATCCTCAACCTGGAAGCAAACATGAGTTTACTGAAATACACAAAACATTCAGAGAAAGAAAGGACGAAACTTAATTGTGATCTGGCGTAAAATACATTTGCTTTCCTTCCATTTTGACCCGAATCGCTGGCCATTGAACAAATAAGAGGAGAAGGAAACAGGTCTTCACTCGGTTGTTACTTTTGCCCCTTAGTGAGAAACTGATACCCGGCTTGGATAGATGGGAGTCTTAAAACTCTTCCTGAATTTGTTTAAATGCATGCTTCTTCTGCACCCTTACACACACTGAGGAGGGACGAGAAAGAAATGGGAATTTAAAAAAAAACAACACATGGAATCAGTTCCAGTAAGAATTGTACATCTGCAAAGAAAAAAGAGTTAAATGCCAACGTCATACAAAACCAAAGCGGAAACATGAATCGCACGATGAAGTGGATTTAAATAAATGCTTGGAGTTTTGATTTTTTAAAATTTTTTTGGATCCTTTCACAATTAGTTTGGGGAGGGGGGTTGGTAGTGGAGGGGAAGGGGGAAGACAAACCAGAATGGAAAGGATGGATATGAATGATCTATGGATCTATGACCATGATGAAATGATGCTCCTTTGAATAAGAACTCCAGGTGGGAAAGGCAGGATAGAAATAAAAGGAGTAAAGGATATTTGGAATAAGGGGAATATACTGAACGTGTTGAAGTATGTGCAGGCTGCTGATTGTGAGGGGCATTTCCCTGGAAAGCTCTGTCTAGTTCCTTGAAATAATGGTATTCGGCCAGAAGGCTACTAACATATGGCAGTGTCTCAACCTTGGGAACTTTTAAGATGGTTGGACTTCAACTCC